CATGCTTCTATTCACAATTTTTCTAAACTTCATACCTTTGAAATATTTAGCTTTGTTCTGAAAATCATGCCCCATTCAAATGAATATGATCATTCTACTTCTGCATACTGGCAGCTATTTCGGGTATCAAAATGTTCAGCATTTTCAAGGACATTCATGCTTCTATTCAGAATTTTTCTAAACTCCATACCTTTGAAATATTTAGCTTTATTTGCAAAGTTTGGCCCATTCAAATAAATAAAAAAATTCTACTTCAGCATACTTTCAGCTATTTCAGGTATCAAAATATTCCGCATTTTCAAGGACATTCCTGCCTCTATTCAGAATTTTTCTAAACCCCATACCTTTGAAATATTTAGCTTTATTTGGAAAGATTGTCCACATTCAAATGAATGGGAAAATTCTACTTCAGCATACTTTCAGCTATTTCAGGTATCAAAATATTCCGCATTTTCAAGGACATTCCTGCCTCTATTCAGAATTTTTCTAAACCCCATACCTTTGAAATATTTAGCTTTATTTGGAAAGATTGTCCACATTCAAATGAATGGGAAAATTCTACTTCAGCATACTTTCAGCTATTTCAGGTATCAAAATATTCCGCATTTTCAAGGACATTCCTGCCTCTATTCAGAATTTTTCTAAACCCCATACCTTTGAAATATTTAGCTTTATTCTGAAAATTTTGCACCATTCAAATGAATGGGATAATTTTATTTCTGCATAGTTTCAGCTATTTCGGGTATCAAAATGTTCAGCATTTTCAAGGACATTCCTGCCTCTATTCAGAATTTTTCTAAACCCCATACCTTTGAAATATTTAGCTTTATTTGGAAAGATTGTCCACATTCAAATGAATGGGAAAATTCTACTTCAGCATACTTTCAGGAATCAAAATGTTCAACTCTTCAAGGACATTCATGCTCCCATTCAGAATTTTTCTAAACTTCATACGTTTGAAATATTTAGCTTTATTTTGAAAATCCTGCCCCATTCAAATGAATGGAAAAATTCTACTTCAGCATACTTTCAGCTATTTCAGGTATGGAAATGTTCAGCTCTTCAAGGACATTCATGCTTCTCTTCAGGATTTTTCCAGACCTTATAACTTTGAAATATTTAGGTTTATTTTGAAAGTTTTGCACCATTCAAATGAATGGGATAATTTTATTTCTGCATAGTTTCAGCTATTTCAGGTATCAAAATATTCAGCATTTTCAAGGACATTCCTGCCTCTATTCAGAATTTTTCTAAACCCCATACCTTTGAAATATTTAGCTTTATTTGGAAAGATTGTCCACATTCAAATGAATGGGAAAATTCTACTTCAGCATACTTTCAGGAATCAAAATGTTCAACTCTTCAAGGACATTCATGCTCCCATTCAGAATTTTTCTAAACTTCATACGTTTGAAATATTTAGCTTTATTTTGAAAATCCTGCCCCATTCAAATGAATGGAAAAATTCTACTTCAGCATACTTTCAGCTA